AAACCCAGGTCTCCAATATCTTCTAAAGCTATATTCACTATGCACACAGATTTGCTTCAATCTTATAAAATGGCATAAATACATTACATTTATTAATGTAAATTATATATAGGCACATAAATATAACTCTACTACATCATAAATCTGACCTCTCTGAAGATTATACACTATAATAGAGTCAATATTTTGAAATACTAATTTTTTCTTATTTTATAATTATGTAGCGTTTAGAAAAACAAGGGTAAAAGTGGCACTGGATAATATGTATTCCTTTAAAAAAAAAAACCTCTCCCAGGAAGTTCAAATTCATATCTTCTTTTTCTCCTCATATATTTCCTTAGAGCCATCACAGGCATCTGAAGTCAACTGCTATTCCTTCTTTCCAAGACAGTTTATAACACCTGAATGTACTGCCAGCGATTACGTGGAAGGTTTAGAGAGAAGCCAATCCCCTAAATCTTGTCTTCTCACTCTGTTTTCTCCCATCCACCAACATCATTGAGTGCAGGACTGAAGCAGTGAACATATGGAAGGGAAAAGGGGGTGACATAATGCTTTGCCTAAGTGACAAGGGAGGTGCTTATGCTGTGGCTTCTGTTTGTTTTAAAAGAGACCAGCTGATTGTGTTGTCTTTTCCCTTTATTCCTCTGAGTTACTTGGTGCCCGTGGGGGAGTCTGATGCAGATCCCAAGAATGACAAGATAACAGAAGTGAATAAAGTATAGGCAGAGAGACCTGGGAAGCTGTAAAAGTAAACACTGCCTGGGTAGGTTTTTCTTAATTTTGAATTTTGCCATTTATATCACTAAGATGACACTATTTTTTATTTTATTGTAAGTCAACTGTAGATCAATGAAAATCAATTTTATAATTTTTTCTATGTACTAAATGTCAGAAAAATTGTGTAGGGTAAGTTTATAAATGATTTTATGGTATTTTAGCAGATAGACTAATAAAAACAAACTTTAACAGGTAGTAACATATGGTACAAACCAAATTTTACTTAATGCAGTCACACAGTGATTTCACATCTATGTTTAAGTAACTGAGGGAAGCTGAGCTGATGCTATTTAGACTTGGATGCATATGTATAGGTCTCCACTCGAAATGAAATCTCAATTCCTATAAATCACACTTTTAAAAAAATATGTAGTCATATTCTATCAGTTTCTTGGGGTAAATGGAAGAAAACTGTGGACTATGTAATGATTCCCTGACACTTAGATCATGTTAATTTATGACATTTCAAAAGCATCACATGGAATACATTTTTACAAATCATCACAGATGTAAGATGCCTAGCAAGTTGATATAATTTCTTGGTTTTTACCCGATTTTTCTTCCTGAAGGTTCACTTATTAATGAACTATGCTACATTTCTTCTTAAAGTTAAATTTAATCAGAATATTTTAAAATGAGGCATCATCTTGCTCAGAGGATATCAGACACACAGAGCAATATAAAACAGTAAATACGCCAGTAAAAAGCAGGTGTGGCATAATTTCAGAATAGATAGGTCTACCCAAGAAAAGATAGCTGACAATTTTACACCCACATAAATGACGAGTCATTTCACCACAGACCAGTGAAAACATGGGCTAACACTATCTTTAAACTGGCATTCAGGGACAATAGTCCTCTCATTTTACAAAGAAAGAATCTTGGAATTTGAGAGACTATGTGAGTTAAGTTTGTCACTGGTAGGGCCAGAACTAGAATCAAAGTCTTCTTTCCAACAAAGCAGGTCACCAGTTAAACTTTAGGTAAAAATTTTGCCCCAAACCAGGAATACTATATTCAGACTTCCACAGATTAGTTTAAAAACTACGTCAAGCTAAAGATATCTACTCTGATCTACCAATAAAAAATGCTACACACCCAGATGGTTTTATAGATAAATTCTATCTAACAGATAATTCTCATTTGTTAAAGTTATTCCAGATCAAAGAAAACGATGTCAATGTCACAAATCATTTTGCTAAGGTGTCATAATCCCAGCTCCAAACCTGACAAAATGGCATGAAAAGGAAAAACACAGCTCAATTTCATTGAAGAAAGCAGATGTAAAAACTATTGATAAGTCTTAACTCTTAAAGAATATTTACAATGAACCAGGTACTGTTGTAGACACTTTATATATATTAAATCAGTTAATCCTCATAACAACTCTTTGAAAGGCATACTATCATTATCTCCACTTTACTGAAGCACAAGGGGTCAAGAAACTTTCTCAAGGTAACATAATTCGTAAGTGATAAAGCTAGAATCCAAAATATTGGATTCTAAGTGATAAAGCTTGGCTCCAAAACATTAGGAAAATAACCCAGCTGTGTATTAAGTTAAAACATGTAGGACAGGGCTTCCCTGGTGGCGCAGTAGTTGAGAGTCCGCCTGCCGCTGCAGGGGACACGGGTTCGTGCCCCGGTCCGGGAAGATCCCACATGCCGCGGAGCGGCTGGGCCCGTGGGCCATGGCCGCTGAGCCTGTGCATCCGGAGCCTGTGCTCCGCAACGGGAGAGGCCACAATAGTGAGAGGCCTGCGTACCGCAAAAAAAAAAAAAAAAAAAACATGTAGGACAATTATACTGCAATAAAGATGTTAAAAAAAAAAATGTAGGAATTACCGCAAGAATGTAAGGATTGTTCAACATGTCATTATATTAATAAATAAAAGAAGAAAAAAGATCAGTGTGGTAATGGAGGCTTTAAAATTTTTAAATACAATATACATTTTTGATAAAAATATTCTTAATCAAATGAGAATGATAAAGACTACTTATCAGAAAGAAACATCAAACAATATATAAAATTAGTAAGCTACATGAGGAATTTCTATTTAGTTCACTAATGAAGTTCCAGTGCCTACAGCAGTGCCCGGCACGTAACAGGCATGCAAATATTTGTTACATAAATATTAAAATAAGAAAAAAACATTCCCTCTATATTAGAAATACAACTGGTATACCTATTGTGACTCTATTATTCTACACTATTTATGAAGTTCTACTAAATGTAGCAACACTTTAAATACTGGAACAGAGAGAAAAAGTATATTAATTTCCAGATTATATAACTGTACCATTAGAAAACCCAAAAGATATAAGTTATTAGAACAATTATAAGCATTCAGTAAGGTGAGCAGATACAAGATAGATATACAAAAAGCCAATTTTTCTTTATATTAACAATAACCAATTAAAATTAAATAAAATAGTATCTGAGACTAAAAAATAGAAGGGTTAAATTTAACCAGAAAGATATAAAACCTAAGTGAAGAAAACTATAACATGTTCTTGGATGTAAAACAAGACCTATATGGACAGATAGGAAGCCTTATTACAGAGCAAAATGAAATATAATAAAGGCACTGCTAATAAAATCCTTGCTGAAAGATATATCTGAAAGAATAATACACAAGGATATTTTTTTTAAGTTTAAAAAGAATAGAGAGGAGACTTTCCTAACACATAGTAAAACATACTACAAAACTTCCATACTCTTACTACTGTTATTAGTAGCTAATATTTATTGAGAGTTTACTATGTGTTCATCACCCTCTAAGTACATCACAGGTAATTAATTCTCACAATGACCCTAGGAGATCTGTATTTTTATTATCTCTTTATCTCTTTAGATATGAGGAAACAGAGAGATTGAATACTTGGCCAAGGCAACATTCAAGACAGGCAAGGGGTCACTAGAGTGGGGTACACCATTTTGGAAAAGTAATTTGGCTATTTAAATCTTTACTGAATGGCCAATCTTTACCAAGTATGATACTAGATACCAGGAACACGGCAATGAAAGAGACAGACAAGGGTCCTACCTTCATGAAACTTATATCCCAATGTGAGGAGACAGGTGATAGTATGAAAACCAATAAGATAATCTCATAGTGATAAAGTTGCTAAAAAGAAAATACACTGTGGGTGATATGACAGAAGCAAACTAGAAGGAGGGGGGAGGGTTACCTTTTATCAATGTCTAAGAAGCCATCTCTGAAAAAAAAAAATTTAAGTTGGACATTGAGTTGAGAAGAGGGCAGCCATGTAATGAGCTGGAAGGATATTCCAGACAGGCAGAGGAGAAAAAGCTGTGAGCTGGGACTGGATCAGAATGTTCAAGGAATAGAAAGAAGGCCAACATTACTGGAGTAGAGGAAACAAGTATATGGCAGTAAGTGGATGTTTATCACAGGGGCTCAGGCACATACTGTGACCAGATATACCACTTACAGAACTCTATCCAATAGCAATAGTAACCGGTACATATAAAACTCTGTGCAAAATAATGTTATCGCTAGACGGTTTGTAAAAGAAAAACAGCTGGAAAAACCGACATGTTGACCATTTGGGGAACAGTTAAGTAGATTATGGTAAAATGTAATATGTATACATATAGCTGATCCACTTTGTTCTACAGTAGAAACTAACACAACATTGTAAAGTAATTATACTCCAATAAAAAAATAAAATGAAAACAGTCAGGTGGTAGCATATGTAATGACCTGGTAAGATGTCCTAGAGCTATGTGAAAAAAAGCAAGCAGATCAATAAATATTTTTCTTTAATGAGACTCCTAAACTATGTATTAGGGATTTTGAACTCCAAAGTCTGGTCCTGGATAAACTCCACTTTGCTTCCTCCCACTCCAAGCAAATGTTCTCCTACAAACTTTCCTCCCACCTCTTTCTCTAATTCATTCCCTGCCAGCATTTCGGCTCACCTCAGCCCATTGCTTGTTTCTTTACCTACAAACATGAACAGCATGACAAAAATTCTAAGAGCACAGAGGATAACGTTTTCTTAAAATGAGAAAAACCCACAACACCATAGACTAGTTCTGAAATGACTGCATCAGCCAGCTCTAACGATTTTAGAATAGTCAGGTTGCATCATATACTTAAACTATTTGAAAATCAGAAATCACATTATTATGAGCAATTACAGGTAACTAAATATTCGGTTGGCTATTAACACTAGCAGAGGTGGAAATCTTACCTCTACTTTTGTTCGATAGAGAACGAGTCGTTTCAGGCCACATAATTTGGCAATGTGGTTGAAAGCTTGAGGCGGCAGTTTATCACAGGATGAGAGATTTAGGTCCTGTAGGTTTAGACACATCTCAGAAATAATCTCCAAGCAAGTTTCATTAAGGAAGTGGCTGCAAGATAATTCAAGACGCACTAATTCAGATCCACAGACCTTCAGAAACCTGTAAAAACAATGTTCCATGTGAATTTCATAAAACTAAAAGATATTTTTTGCAAGTACTTTGGAATTATATTGACTCTAAGCAGTCATCTTCAGAAGAATAGATTTCTATTAGGGAAAATTAAAAACTTGTTTCACTTAAATTCTCATTTACTGCATGCCAAAACAGGCACGGGTAGGCTAAAATATATCAACCTAAGAAGATAAAATGGATTCACATCTCATAAAAGGTCAGCTACTGCTAAGTGGGAAATTAAGAAAGCAGAGGGTGTTTTTCATCTACTTACCTGTAATTCACATCTGAGCTGGGAGAGCCAATAAACAAAACATAACAAAACTCTAAACTCTTGGAAGTTATTTCTCCCTAAACAGTACCCATTCAGGACTGGATAATTTATTTGGAATGACCTGAAAACAAATCAGACTAGCCTCCTCTCAACTAAGAAAATTTCTGGGTTGGCTTCACTTTACTGTTGAGATATGTTCCTTGTAACTGATACTATTTAATGCCTAGACTGATGTTGAAATTATTACAAGATATTCAATTGCAGCTTCACACAAAATACACAGAAATAACTTCATGTGGAGGACACAAAACCCTTTATCAGAGTAGTAATAACAATATTTATCTTCATTACGTTACAGATGGGGGGAACACAGGCCTTTCCATAATCATCATCTGATAATAAAAGTAAAATGTGAGCCTACAAGTATTCATATCCCTGAAACTTTATCAACAAGCGGTGCGCCTGTTTATCCCTTAAACAAGCGCACCACTCATCCCCGTCCAGGTCTCTTGACGTCTTCTTGCCCATCTCAGTGTCACATCAGTCACATCCTGTTATTTTATTTATGCTGCATCTTTTTTCTACATGATTTAATTATTAGCTTACAAATACACATGCAAAATAAAACTGACAATCAATCACTTATGAAAGTAAAGGAAGTAACACTGGACTTCTAAGTCAAAAGATGGATATTTTGCCCTGTTCCACCATTTCCTAGCATGTGACCTTGGAAAAGGCATTTACCCAAGTCTCAGCATTTCCTCAGATGTAGAAGGCAGACTAGAAATATGTTAACAGCATTCACCACACTGTGGTTTTGAACATCCCACAATAATGTGAAAGCAGTTTGCAAAGACAAAAGTACCCCACGAACATTAAAATAAAAGTGAAATCTTGGCCAACACACATTCAAACAACAATTAAAAAATGTAATTGCTACAAATTTATTTTAAATGTTGCAAATAACTCAGTAGCCCACACATCTTATTTACACCCAAACATCCAAGAACATCCCTTTATTCTTAATCCATTGCAGCGTATGTTCTGCTCTCCCTAAATTCATCCTTTCCTTTTAAATGCCAAATTAAACGGCCTTTCTTTCCAGTCCTTATATTACCTGATTTATTGTGGCATTTCACACAACCGCCCTCACCTTCCTTCAAATTCTCAGACAGTCCTCTCGCTATTCCCTCCTTAAATTCCTCCGACCTGTCTCACTGCTGTGTCCTTTGTATTACAGTAGCTAAATTGCCAGTTTGCATCAAGCACCTTAATTCATTCACTCAACAAATGTTTATTGAGCTCCAACTATGACCCAGGCATTACTCTAGGCACTTGGAAGTTCGCAGTGGGCAAAGCAAAGTTCCTGCTCTCATGGGGCTTACTTACATTTTGGTAGGAGAGGTAGATCATAAACAAATCAATTACATGAGTAAAATTAATAGTATATTAGAGAGTGAAAAGTGCCAACAAGAAAATAAAAGCAGAGAAGGACAACAGGAAGTGTCAAAGGTAGACAGGGTGGTAAGGGAAGCCCCATTGAGAAGGTGAATCAAGCCCCAAAGGAAGTGAGGGGGTGAGCAAAGCAGTTCCCTGGAGAAGCAGCACTCCAGGCGAAGGGAGGGGCAAGCGCAACAGCTCTGAGGCAGGACAGCTCAGACAATGCCTAGAGCACGGAACTGTCAGGAGGCTCAAAGTGAGAGGGACAAGGGGAGCAGATCAGAGAGGTAAGGGGCAGTTCAGAGTGTGTGTCCTATAAAGACTCTGGCTTTTATTTTGAGGGAGATGGGATCCTCAGTCATCAGAGGGTGCTGAGCAGAGGTGTGGCACGACCTGCTTGTCTTTTAACAGAGCCACTCCGGTTTCTGTGCGGAGAACAGACTGAAAGAGAACAGGGGTAAAAACAGGGGGACCCTCAGGACACCACGACCACATTCAGGGAAGAGAGGATGGTGCACTGGATCCGGTGGTGGCACTGAATGTTGTCCTCAATATTCAGACTCAGGATCTATTTCAAAGGGAGGCAGCGGGTACCACATTATGACATACCTTCTTCATACTGAACTGGACTCAGGCTCACCTATTTCTCAACCATAATTTAGTTTTCTGTTAACCAGTTTCCTTACATACTGATTCGTTTACATTGAGTTTTATAAGGTGCCTCAAATCCTTCGGCAATTGAAACAGATTCTTGGTGTACCCAGTACTTAGCATGATGTCAGGCATGTAAAAAACACTGGATGACTTTGTTGAATAAATCTTCCAATGGTGAAAATTCATCTGAAGAATTTCAATTTCCTCTACTCTGGAACAAACTAAGTTTTATGGACTCAGAGAATTTTTCCCTTAAGAGGGTCAAACTCCTAAGAAATATGACAAAATTAACATTTTTACCTTACTCTGAGTATACATCATAGTTATGACTAGTTCTTCACTATTTATAAGCTAGCAATCTAGAAATGAATGTAGGGTGTCAGAGATCTGGAGTATCCTATTTTGATTTGATACTTCTAAAATTATTTGCAGATTACAAAAGTTAACTGAGTATATTAACTCTTAAAATTAAAATCTTGAGGCATCTTATCTCCTGAAGGTCTTCATTATTTGGCAAAGCACTTTGTTCTACAATTCTTTTTGGTATTGGACTTGGAATACTTTGACATTTCTTTTCTCTTTGTTCTCATTAATGAACTTTTCCCTTCTAAAGACAGAAAGTAAATCACCAGAAAGCCAACTGTGAATAGATTAGAAAACATCCCAAACTGACTGAATGAATGAAAAAATTTGGAAGCACAATAAAGATAATGATCATGCTTATCTACCTTTATGACTCTCTCTCTTCTTTTTTATATATTGCATATTTTTACTGAGATTATTTGGTCAATATCCCCATAGTCTCTCTTCCTAAACTTACAAGATCTACACTACTTACTTTTTCATATTTCCATTCCAAGAAGGCAGAATTAGCAGCAGAATCAATTAATTAGCTGAACACAACTCTTGTTTCTTTCCTTAATGCTCCTCATAAAGTTTTATTTTAAGGCATAATTACATACATGTTTTTGTCTTGGTCATCTATTTATTCATTTCAATTGTGATACTGGTCACTTGAAAGGAGAATTATAGCTTGTATACTTCCTGCAGCCTGTTCATACCATGTTATGAATTCTCATCAAGTATTTCTTGATATTGAGGGTATTAAGAGAAGACCTAAGTTCAGATAAACAATCCCAAACGAGGTCTCTTGCTATGAGAAATGGAGTCTCTGGAGAGAGAAATAAATTGCTTATCTTTATGAGGTGAATTCATTTGTCCAGATTAATATAAGTACATAAAAAGTAATTTACTAAATGGTAACTTGCACCCTAAAATAATTAACATCACATGAATGAATGATTTAATCTGAGTTTATTCATCACAAAATAAAAGGCACTAATCCTTACAAGCTGCCTGAAGTATCAAGGTAAAGGGGAGAATTAGGTATAAATATCCACGGCTTCTGATTGCTAATCTCATGTTTTGTTAGCTGACCCTCACTTGAGTTTTATAAGACAGTATATTTAAGATAATTTTAATCCCAAATAGCTGGAGCATTATTTACTATAGCCGATCCAAAATAAAGTCATTAAAAACAAAACTTCTTGCTTAACTGTGTACGGTACTATCTAGCAATGGTAGAAGGAAGTGGAAAAGAAAGTCTTAAATTGTCTTTAATCTCTAGGAATTGACCATCTAAAAGAGACAACAGTGTAAAACACAGGCAGGCAACTGAATAAACACATATATGAATAAGCAAAAAGCTCTCTATTCCATAAAACTGTAGCTCTGTGTCAAAACATCAAGTTCTTAAATCTAGAAAGCATCCAATAATGTTTTCTGAAGGGAACAAGTAGAAGGGTGAGGGATAGAAATCTCTACATAACTGAGGTGGAGCTCAAGGTGATTATTTTGAGCAACTACCTGAAGAAAAACGATAGAGGAAAAATAAATAGAACCTAAGACTTTTTGAACATCAGAATGATATAATTAAGCCAACAGGCAGGGAGGCAAAGGCATATCCAAGACTTTAGGGAAGTGTATTATAAGAGAAAAGTGGAATTACAGTAGATGTGACTTTAATGAGTAATGATATAAACGAGCAGTACTTGAAGTTACAAATCACAAATCTGTAGATAGAATAGGATTTTAATAACTGATTAAAAGTTTTAAGTTCTTATTATTCCAATTTCCCTGTTATTTTGAATAAAATAAATTCCTAAGTTCTTTAAAATCCAGTGAAACAATTCCAGCTTGTGAAGATAAGGTTTTTAGGTAACAAAAATAAACGATATCAAACTTTTCCCAAAGACTTACTCAAAAAGCAAGCTCGGGCTTCCCTGGTGGCGCAGTGGTTGAGAATCTGCCTGCCAATGCAGAAGACACGGGTTTGAGCCCTGGTCTGGGAGGATCCCATATGCCACGGAGCAACTAGGCCCATGAGCCACAACTACTGAGCCTGCGCGTCTGGAGCCTGAGCTCCGCAACAAGAGAGGCCACCATAGTGAGGGGCCTGCGCACCGCGATGAAGAGTGGCCCCCACTTGCCACAACTAGAGAAAGCCCTCGCACAGAAACGAAGACCCAACACAGCCAAAAATAAATAAATTAATTAATAAACCCCTACCCCCAAAATCTTCTTTAAAAAAAAAAAAGCAAGCTCATCATCATTGGTCTCTATTTTAAAAATGTACTTTTTTTCTTTAAAGTATTACAAGTAAGTCTTCTTCACAGTAATGAGCATAAATAGACCACACTTACTCATAGATTATTCATTAATAATCAAGCCATGAATATTTATCATTTATTCTGGGAATGCTGCCTATAAGCCATAATGACTATCAATTCAGCAGTCGGGTCAAGGGGGCCAACGGCAATCAGGAGGCAAAACTCCAGTATCTCCCACCCAAAAAAGATTCCCTCTCCCTGTTATTTAACCTTTTTATTTTCTTAATGAGAACAATGACTATACTTAAAGGAATGCTATCAAGATTTATTTATGGTTTTACTGGCTGAAATACTCCTGTGAAATATGGAAAACTTAAATTCATGTATGTACTTTTGTGATTATTTAAACAGCCCCATGGCAACTAAATGGCTGAACTGAAAATGGAAGAGAAATTGCTGGTGAGAAAGTAGATTGGAGCTTTAACCTCATAAAAGAAGATCTTTATCCACCACATGTCTAAAATGCTAACAATAGCATCGCGAAGTTTTCTTCTCACAACTTATATTTCTGCTCATGCACCTGAAGAAGCTACATAAAGTTTTTAAAAACTGATTTAATACTATCTCTACATTTTATTCATTATACCATGGTTATATGCAACATTTTGGCAAAGAAGCTGGACTTCAGTCATTCATTACCAATATTTTCTTTAACTCATTAGTTGCCTCCCTGTTATTTTATTTATAAAATATAGGAAGGATATGTTTAAATGTTTATTCTTATATCTTTATCTTTTCTGTAGCAGGAACTATATTATCTATCTGTTTACATGGTCCACGACAGTCACCATAATGCCTTACACACCAAGAGTGAAAACAAACAGTAAGTTCCTAATGGTGGGAAACATTGAAAAAAGAGCTATGAGGGATTAAAACACCCAAAAGTCCTTGTAATGTAAAATAATGCTTACTGATACCAATGGTTCTATCTGCTCTCAGAGTCAGTTAGTCTTGGTTTATGATCTATAGTGTATGCTCTCAATACCCACAGTCATCATTAGCTTCAGTTCTTCTTGGTCCCATTAATAGCGAGGAAAATTAGCCAATGAAGTGTGTGTGTCTGCAGCAAAAGGAAGTAGAAAGGACTGAGCTTGTGTTCCACTGGAGAGCTGTCAAAGATCCAGCAATTTTCAAAATGTGGATTCTATAAAAATTTACCAAAATCACACTGCCAAAAAGAAATGCCTAATTTTTCTACTATATATATATATATAATATATATATATCCCATTTTAAGCAAATTTACATAATAAAAAAGAATTTTGTATACATAGCCTGTTGTAAAATCTTTAGACTCTGACCCACAATCCCATCATGTTTTATCTAAGAACCCCTTCCCCTGGCTCTATTTCTGGCAGAAAAGAAACTCAGTGCATCCATGGTTTCAACATGTGCTATAAGCCATTACTGCTTGTGTTTATTTTTTACTTTGATGCATAAACTATCAATATTAGCATTTTGAACACATTGGTGCTATTTCAAACATGACTTCATCTGACTCTAATGGTATCAAATATTTATTTCTGGAACTGCATCTTTATTTTTATACTTTAAGTCAAGGGGAACTAAGCTCAAAATACAGATTTCTAATTCATAAACCACTGTTCAGGAATGTATCCACTGGGGATATGTGCAGGGAGGGCTGTAGTTCATTCTAACTTCTAAAAACAGGATAGGAGATTATTTGTTAATCAAAAATAACAGGTAGGGCTTCCCTGGTGACGCAGTGGTTGAGAGTCCACCTGCCGATGCAGGGGACATGGGTTCGTGCCCCGGTCCGGGAAGATCCCACATGCCGCAGAGCGGCTAGGCCCGTGAGCCATGGCCGCTGAGCCTGTGCTCCGCAACAGGAGAGGCCACGAGAGTGAGAGGCCCGCGTACCGCAAAAAACAAACAAACAAACAAACAGGTAATTTCCCCAAAGTGTCTACTTCTTCGTTAATGAAACGGATTATACTGTAACATACAATGAGAATAACCATCAAGGTCAGGAGAAAAACACCTGTTTGTTTCACAAGAAAAATGACTACGGCATTACTAAATGAATATGTACTCGTGCAAGCTTTCAAATGTTTAACAGGTGACGTTTAATAGTAAGGAAACTAAATGCTTAAATAGAAAGGAGCAGAAACACCTGGGCAGGTCTGCAAGTGTGGTCGCCTATTTAACATGCAATTGCATTTTCAACATAATTAGTTTAAATGAGCTTCCAAATTTGGGTGATGTATTGCACATGTAATTAAGATTTAATTAAAAATGTTCTATAATAAATTGTTTTCCATTTCTGACAAATCACATTAGGGAGGTAGATTTTGATTTGGAAATAGTTTTTAGAATGTGTTAATCATCTGTGCTGAAAATATGAGAAAGAAAAAAAGGAGCTCTGTTGAAAGTTCCTTGGGATTTAAAAAATATGAGGTAAAGGGCATAATTTCCCTCCATCTTGTGAAGTCTAGCTGAAGAGGATGGTGAAACTAACTCATCCACTTTTGTCAGCAGAAGCACTCTGAACATGATCTAAAGTACATGATATATAATTTCAAACTTTTATTATGGAAACTACTACATAGTAAGTATAGCCTGCTGATTTAAATAACCTCAACAAGGCTTGGCACTGACCTGCTAAATCCTGAAACAGAGATGAAGCCCCTATTGCCAGTCCAAGATAAATTAAGCCACTGGACGAGAGTACAGCGAGGCTGCAGAAATTCCAGAGAGGTGTCATTTAGTTTTGCCCAGTATGGTTGCAGATTGAGGTGGATGTACTGCAGAGGATCACAGCAATGCTGGTTCAGTAGTTTGCAAGTCTGTGCTAATCTACACAGGTCTGGTAGTGTCAGATGATTCAGAATCAGTTGAATGAGCTACATAAAACAGAGAAACCAAGATCACCCAGACTGAAAAAACAATATCACTTTTTGAAGCATATGATATGATCTAATAAAGAATAACAGTATCATATATTTTATAACAATACTTTCACATACTAAATAATTCAACAGAATTATCCAAATCAGTAGTAACCATACATACATAAGGCTATATATATTACATTTCAAGAGCATTCAAAGTATATTCAATTCATGTCGACTATTTTTTTTTTTTACAGTGCAAAGGTATATTTTGGTAATCTATTGAATAATACAATTTTTCACATACTTAACATTTACTAAACATCGACTACACGTCAAACACTGGTGAGAAGAGCTCCCACTTTCAGGGTTTCCAGAGTCCAGTGGGGACTGGTAAGTACGATGATATGTTTTAATAGCTTGGATAGACGCATAGACTGCTACTAGAGCCTGACACAAGACACAGGCCTAACCTCAGTGAAAGCGGACTTGGACCAGCAAGGCTCAGCTTTAAAGAGAGGCAAAACTGGGGAGAGGAAAGATTAGTTAGTGGTAAGGACTGGATCACAGAGAGCCTCACCGAGGAGCCTGGATTTATTCTGAAAGCAATGAGGAGTCTTGAAGGGATTTATGTAACTGCAGAGTGACAGAGTCATATTTATGGTTTAGAAAGATCATTGCAGGGGGCACTACCGGAGGCAGGAAGGGAAACCCGCCTGGCGGCTACTGTAGATTCCAAGAAAGAGGAATCAGGGGCCTGCTTAAGGCAACTGGCAGTGACTAGGGAGTAGCTAACAGATACAAAAAAGTATTAAGGAGGAGGAATCAAAAAGATTTTTATCTCTAATTAAAATAGTTTCTTTGAACTAGTTCAAGATTTGTTTTTTCTTAATGGTGAACAGTCGGGGGCTCCTAAACTAATTTTCAAAGAATCACTGCTAAATAGCCTATTCTGAACCAAGAAATACTAAGAAAAAAAAATCAAATATTTGCTAAATGGTAAAAAAATCTTTAGATGAGAGAGAAGGTTGAGTTTCTTTTCTTTTTTTTTTTTTTTTTTTTTTTTGGTTCGCAGGCCTCTCACTGTTTTGGCCTCTCCCGTTGCGGAGCACAGGCTCCGGACACGCTGGCTCAGCGGCCATGGCTCACGGGCCCAGCCGCTCCGCGGCATGTGGGATCCTCCCGGACCGGGCATGAACCCGTGTCCCCTGCATCAGCAGGCGGACCCTCAACCACTGCACCACCAGGGAAGCCCCTGTATTATATTTTTAAATAATTCTATTCACTATATTTTGTTCGCCGAAGTAAAATTGGTCTGTAATTTTATTTTTATGTGCTAGAGTATTATAACAGCTTCACTAAGAAGTTAAAAACTTTCCCTTTTCTTTATGCTATGAAAGAGTTTAAATAATACAGGATTTGATCACTTCTTAAATGTCTGAAAGAACCTATGAGCCATCTGGGCTTGGCAACTGTAGGACCTTAAATATGTGTAGAAAGAATTAAAAATTTGTTGTTTTAACTACAATACTAAAAGCTATTTCAGTAAAATTTTTAAGCAGTTGGTGCAAAGAGACATTAAAAGTTAAATATATCCATGTATCAGAGGATAAATAATTTACTTTTTTCCAGATGATTTATAATTTAAATAACTCCCAGCAATTGCTGGCATCATTCCAAAGTCACCATTATTAAAAGATGTATATTGTGTGAAAACATTTTCTGATCCTTAATATTATATTTTAAGCAAATATCCAAGTAGAAGAAGAATAATGAAGTTATTGAGACCATGACATTGGCATGTGAAAAAGCACTTTTGGATTCTGATTAAGCAAAAGATAACAGGTTTTAGGCCTACAAGATAATACCCATTAATTATTACTCATCTAGTACCTAGTGTCTGTCAGAAGATGTTTTTATATGGGGGTATCCTAGCCTAAAGTACCATTTGACACGATGTTGTATGTAGGATGTTGTATGTCTCAAAACACAGCTGATCTGCCCTCAAAACACACTCTACTCATAATACAATTATTTTCAACTAAGGAAACATTATGTCACTTGACATATTTAAATGTGGGGTTTTTTTTCCTTTAAATAACTTGGATTATATAATTTAGGCAACTTTTAAAAAAAGAGTTTCTCTTTTTACTCACTGTGAGATCATTCAGTGTTTTGCAGCATCAACTCTTTATGCCTTTATGCCTTGTACTGCCTTCATCATGACTAATTAATGTCCTTCAGGACGACTGATTCTATCTCTCGGTTTCGTCTATGTGATTTTGTTGTATTGATTAAACCCCTTGCATGTACTGGAAGCCTTTACTCTTTATTGGCTCCTTCCCTACAGCATAAAAGCATACTGAAATCTCTCCCAGCTTGCATCACAAACAGAAACCTTCCCACCCTGCTACATCTTCTGCCACTCGTCTTTTCTCGTTGTGACATGAAGGGGTGGAGTGTTAGGATGCCAAGTATTATTCACTATTGGTGGACAGTCTTGCCCATGATTGGTGTATATTAATAGAAATATTTTTCTGCTTATGCTCAGAGAGCAAACACTTTTTGTCTCTGCTTCTTCCCCGCTCCTTGATGCCTTAACCAGATATGGTAAGGTTTTTCTCATCTCTCACCCTATGGTCATAGTTCCATTGAACTGATACTGGTAAAGGATTATCAGAGATCTCCCGATGACCAAAACCAGTGGGCACTCGTCACTGAGCTCTCTGCAGCGGTGTGGCCGACCACACCCATTTTCTGTTCTCTATACCTCTTTAGCTTCCTATCGTTGTTTTTAAGACAATCTCATCCTTGTCCCAAGTGCCTTTTCTGACTTGTCTTCCTCTCCTGGACTCTTAGATGTTAGTAATCCCAGAATTCTATTCTTGGCCCTTTATTCACACCCTCAGTTTTCCTGGTCAGTTTCATCTACCATGGTAGCCCTCTCCTCTTCTGAGAAGACTCACACAAATGTAAACTCAGACCTTCCTCCTGCGTTTCAAACTCAAATAGCAACTGCCTACTGTCAACTTCTCAATCAGAGAAGTTGGCTTTGATGAATCACAGGCACCTCCAAGTCAATGCACCCTTCCACCTTCACCCACTGGTTTATGATTAATGGCATATCCATCCACCAGGTCATTTCAACCAGAAGCCTAAAAGTCCTTGTGATGCTCTGCTTCATGTCCACATTCAATAGTTACTTTGATTTCTACCTTCTGCATCTCTAGAATACTTCTCCGGCTTACCTCCTTTCCAAACTTTCCAGTACCCAGAGCTTCATAACTTCTTGCCTACATTTCTGCAGTAGCTCCTCGACTGGTATCCCTGCTTCCCACCTTGACCTCCTTTTGGTCTATTCTTCATTTACCAACAGAATAATCTAAGAAAGAAATCTCATTTTGTTATTCTTCTTTTAAAGTAAATAAAACTTTCAATGTTTCCCTACTGACTACAGAAAAGGTTCACAATCTTCTTCATACCATGACACATACGAAAAACAAGCTTTACATGAGGCCAAACACCTGGGCAATCATTCTCACTGTGGGACAAAGCATGTGCAAAAATGCCTGCATATTATGGATAATTTCTGGAATGCTATTATTCCACATCTTTTTCTCCCACTAAAAAAAGCATATGAAGAATTCAGAGAACACAAGAAAGTGAGTGTGAAATTATTATAGGTATTATCTTGGATTTGTTCTAATTTTTTACCAAAAGTAAATGATTTATAAAATCTAAGGTCTCTATGACTCCCCTCAAACGATTCTGCGGTGTACAGGAGAGACACAGCAGCCTGAGGACCACTGGCTGAAGAGAGAAAATGCAAACCTCTCGGTAAAACCCACAGAGCCCTCTACAACGTGGCAGGGTGGGCTGTGCACTGCCAGGGCTGGGATGTCCCAATCACTGTCATCTGTGTGATGGTGGCCTATGGAGTGATGCACCGAGGCAGCCCTGAGCCTGTGTCCAAGTTCATCTCTTGCAGCTTCTGCTATCAAATCCTATTCCAGCCACAGTGAAATACTGGAGTTCCCAAACAGGTCACACAGTTTCACTTCTTCTCACCTTTGGACACTCTCTTCCCTTTGCCTGAAGTTCCCGTTATTCATTTGAATGTGACATGTTAAGCATTTTACCAGGTCTGGATAAAATTCAACAAACTCTTTAAAATACATTTGCTGAATTTAAATCTCTATACTGTAGTTTTAGGAAATGGGTAAGAATCAAGGAAGTGAGCTTTCTCCAGATGAGCTGCTGCCATTGCTGCCAGGACAGACCCTCCTTGAAGCCCCAGGGAACAACATTGTCAACATCCCACGCTCCTCTCTCCCAGCTCAGCTGCTCCTCCATCTTTCCTCCCTCCTCCCTCTAAGGGCCAGGGTGTCTTGTCCACCTATGAAGCTTCCTTCCATAACACAAGACTTGACCTAGAAGGCCTGGGCTGGATCCTGGTTCCATGGCTTACTGACTGAATTACCTTAGATCCTTAAATTTATCTTTATGTGGCAACTTTAGCTACTTCACAGGATGTACCATAGCATTAGAATTGTGAAATGTTGAACAGGCATTATAGCTCCTGTTAGGCACTCAAGAGGCTACCTTATTGTTCCATGCAAGTTAAGCTACTTGTATTATTACAATGAAACCTGAAATACCCACCAGTGTGGAAGGGGGATAGTTGAACTGGTTAAAGTTTAAATTTATAAAATTTTTCTTTAAAAGATCTGATTATATTATTTTTAACCACACACAGCTCTTCTCAGCAGGGGAAGGAATGCCTGGCCCTACTCCCACCCCAGGGGGTGTGCTAATGGCATTTGATGCCTGGGAGCCAGGAGTGCTAAATATACCCTGGAAACACCCCTGCAGTGACACACTGAAAACAAGACTTTAGGTAAAAGGCACTCTATACCTGCCTAGACCAAAAATCATAGCTAGTTAGAGTATAGAATAGAGTTAGTATAGAAGAGTATATGACACTTGGAGAAACTGCGCACTATTAAACAGAATTAGCATTTCTCTCACGGTCTAATTAATACTCTTATTTTTCATAGCAAATTTTTTTTTTTTTTTTTGCGGTACGTGGGCCTCTCTCTGCCGCGGCCTCCCCCGTTGCGGAGCACAGGCTCCGAAATCGCAGGCCCAGCAGCCATGGCGCACGGGCCCAGCTCCTCCGCGGCACGTGGGATCCTCCCGGACCTGGGCACGAACCCGTGTCCCCTGCATCGGCAGGCGGACTCTCAACCACTGCGCCACCAGGGAAGCCCGCAAATCATCTTTAATATAACCGGTATCAAGTTAAGCACATATTGCCCATATTAACACTGTGTAATTATGAATTAAAGTGGAGTGTAATTTATCATTGCTTTATGTATTTTGGTTATTGTTAATCAGTGATAAAATAACCTATATTTAATAGTGTATCCAGAATCACTAAAGTCAAATCCAAAACAAAGGTGGCGAAGTTACTGAACACAATTTTGTCTAGTCTTTCCAAAATCAAAATACACAATACATCAGATTATGTATACCTTGCTAATGCTCCGATTTCTCTGACATCTAGCAAAATAAACATTAACATCTAAACATTTTAAAATGATAGTATGTCCAATATTGCTACTGAATATCTTTGGCTTACCTCATAAGGTAGTTTATCAAAATATCCATTACTTGTCCCTTCCCTGAGGGCAATACTGCTAAACTTTTTGTTCAGATTGTCCATTCCACATCCATTCTTTTCTTCATAGTCATCTTCTAGATCATTCATATCAATAAGTGAAGTCTTGAGAGAAAGCACTGGCTTGTCCTTTGTACCATGTAATACAACGGCATCTAATTCAGTGTAATAATCCAGAAGAGAACTATTTACTTCCAGCCGTATAAGATTTGTGGGAAAATTTATCTGCTTAATACAAGGTTTAAACTGGCGAGCCTGGGAAGCATTCACCTTCGTAGGTTTCTCTGACCAAAGAATCTCCCATCTGCCAAAGAAAGAAACTTCCCTATAATACAGTTTAGAATGAGATTTACTGTTACCTTAACGTTAGGGGCCCAGCCCAATATGTTACAGTGTGAAGCAAAAGCATTCAACAAGGTGGATAGGATCAAGCCAAGAATTGTTTCCAGGACATGAAAATAATTTTAAACCTAAATGCCATAGACCTTATTACTTAAGATATTTTTACTACTTAAATTATTTTTACAACTCCCTAGAAAGTCCTTTTTGGCAGATTTCACTTTGGTAAGTTAAAAACTGGAATAGGTAGTCAGCGGTACATGAACAACACTCAGTTTTACAGATAAAGTAAACACGAAATATTAACGCACACAGTAGAAAGCACTCCTGTGTGCATGCCCTAAACCAACTGTGGAAACTAAACTTCTCACCTTGCCTCACGAAGGTCTCCTTCTCTGTTTCTGTTACTGGTGCCATACAAATTCAAAACTTTCATTGGCCACAGCACACGGCATGTGGAATCTTAGATCCCCCCACCAGGGATCAAACCCGTGTCCCTTGCGCTGGAAGCGTGCGGAGTCTTAACCACTGGACCACCAGGGAAGTCCCAAAACTATCATTTTCTTTGATTTTCTTTTATCCAGTCATTAAATTTTATCAGAGTTTTCATGAAATTGTCTCATATATGCCCTTCTCCTAAGTTTCCATTATTGTCATCTTTTAGTCATCCTTGTATCCTCAGTACCTAGCAAGTAGCTAACACGTAACAGGTGAATAACATTTTCTCCTATTCCTTCAAAATGAACTTCTACTTTTCAGCCAGGTTAATCATTACTTTCCAGATAATAAACTTATTTCCACACGAAGGTGTTTGCTCATGTTGTCTTCCCCTCCCAATGAAATGCCTAACCTACAATTATCTGCCCATCTTTTCTTCAAGGCCTAACTCATATTCCATGTCTTTATATAGGTCTTCTTAAAAAATTAGTTTCCAAAATTATTTAAAGATTCTTTGTAACACAGCATCATTAGATATATAATATTCTCCAATATATGGCATAAATAACCATTTCTCTAATATTGTTTTCTAATATAACAGAGAAAGTTAAAAACACAAAAATACTTCAATAAATACTTCAATAAATACTTCAATAAATACTTCAATAAATACTTCTATTTCTATTTATTTATTTTAGCTAGCAGAACTTTTACATAAAGATTTTATGTCAAAGATTAAGAACACTTTTAAGTCTCCCAATACATACTACAAACTGCTTTCAAAGAAGCTTATGCCAACAATATGTAAGAATGACCACTGAAAGCACTCTTTATTTTTAAAAATAATCTCTAATTTCACAGTGACCCAGGTCTCTGTGACATAATTTATAATTCACTGACTACTAATAACACTTAAAATGTTTTCATATGCTTATTAATCATATCAAATTTTTTCCCCTCCAATATATTGTCAGTTCATTTCGTTGCCTGAATGGCCTATTTACTTTTTATGAATTTTATTTTTTTTATACAGCAGGTTCTTATTAGTTATCTACTTTATACATATTCGTGTATATATGTCAATCCCAATCGCCCAATTCATCCCACCACCACCACCCCCTCTCCTCCCCGCTTCTCCCCCTTGGTGTCCATATGTTTGTTCTCTATGTCTGTGTCTCTATTTCTGCCTTGCAAACCGGTTCATCTGTACCATTTTCCTAGATTCCACATATATGCGTTAATATACATTTGTTTTTCTCTTTCTAACTTACTTCACTCTGTATGACAGTCTCTAGGTCCATCCACGTCTCTACAAATGACCCAATTTCATTCCTTTTTATGGCTGAGTAATATTCCGTTGTATATATGCACCACATCTTCTTTATCCATTCATCTGTCGATGGGCATTTAGGTTGCTTCCAGGACCTGGCTATTGTAAACACTGCTGCAATGAACATTGGGGTGCATGGGTCTTTCTGAATCATGGTTTTCTCTGGGTATATGCGCAATAGTGGGATTGCTGAGTCATATGGTAATTCTGTTTTCAGTTTTTTAAGGAACCTCCATACTGTTCGCCACAGTGGCTGTATCAATTTACATTCCCACCAACAGTGCAAGAGGGTTCCCTTTTCTCCACACCCTCTCCAGCATTTGTTGTTTGAAGATTTTCTGATGATCCCCATACTAATCGGTGTGAGGTGATAACCTCATTGTAGTTTTGATTTGCATTTCTCCAATAATTAATGATGTTGAGTAGCTTTTCATATGCTTCTTGGCCATCTGTATGTCTTCTTTGGAGAAATGTCTATTTAGGTTTTCTGCCCATTTTTGGATTGGGTTGTTTGTTTTTTTAATATTGAGCTGCATGAGCTGTTTAGATATTTTGGAGATTAATCCTTTGTCTGTTGATTCCTTTGCAAATATTTTCTCCCATTCTGAGGGTTGTCTTTTGGTCTTGTTTGTAGTTTCCTTTGCTTTACAGAAGGTTTTAAGTTTCATTAGGTCCCATTTGTTTATTTTTGTTTTTATTTCCATTACTCTAGGAGGTGGATCAAAAAAGATCTTGCTGTGATTTATGACAAAGAGTGTTCTTCCTATGTTTTCCTCTAAGAGTTTTATAGTGTCCGGTCTTACATTCAGGTCTTTAATCCATTTTGAGTTTATTTCTGTGTATGGTGTTAGGGAGCGTTCTAATTTCATTCTTTTACATGTAGCTGTCCACAGTTTTCCCAGCACCACTTACTGAAGAGGCTGTCTTTTCTCCATTGTATATCCCTGCCTCCTTTGTCATAAATTAGTTGACCATAGCTGTGTGGGTTTATCTCTGGGCTTTCTATCCTGTTCCATTGACCTATATTTCTGTTTTTGCCAGTACCATATTGTCTTGATTACTATAGCTTTGTAGTATAATCTGAAGTCAGGGAGTCTGATTCCTCCAGCTCCATTTTTTTCCCTCAAGATTGCTTTGGCTATTCAGCGTCTTCTGTGTCTCCATACAAATTTTAAGATTTTTTTGTTCTAGTTCTGTAAAAAATGCCATTGGTAATTTGATAGGGATTGCACTGAATCTGTAGATTGCTTTGGGTACTATAGTCATTTTCACAATACTGATTCTTCCAATCCAAGAACAAGGTATATCTCTCCATTTGTGTCATCTTTGATTTTTCATCAGTGTCTTATAGTTTTCTGAGTACAGGTCTTCTCCCTCCTTAGGTAGGTTTATTCCTAGGTATTTTATTCTTTTCATTGCAATGGTGAATGGGATTGTTTCCTTCATTTCTCTTTCTGATATTTTGTTGTTAGTGTATAGGAATGCAAGAGATTTCTGTGCATTAATTTTGTATCCTGCTACTTTACCAAATTCATTTATTAGCTCTAGTAGTTTTCTGGTGGCATCTTTAGGATTATCTGTGTATACTATCATGTCATCTGCAAACAGTGACAGTTTTACTTCTTCTTTTCCAATTTGTATTCCTATTATTTCTTTTTCTTCTCTGACTGCCGTGGCTAGGACTTTCCAAACTATGTTTAGTAACGGTGGCGAGAGTGGACATCCTTGACTTGTTCCTGATCTTAGAGGAAAGCTTTCAGTTTTTCACCATTGAGAATGATGTTTGCTGTGGGTTTGTCGTATATGGCCTTTATTATGTTGAGGTAGGTTCCCTCTATGCCCACTTTCTGGAGAGTTTTTATCATAAATGGGTATTGAATTTTGTCAAAAGCTTTTTCTGCATCTATTGAGATGATCATATGGTTTTTATGCTTCAATTTGTTAATATTGTGTATCACATTGACTGATTTGCGTATATTGAAGAATCCTTGCATCCCTGGGATAAATCCCACTTGATCATGGTGTATTATCCTTTTAATGTGTTGTTGGATTCTCTTTGTTAGTATTTGTTGAGGATTTTTGCATCTATATTCATCAGTGATATTGGTCTGTAATTTTGTTTTTTTGTAGCATCTTTGCCTGGTTTTGGTATCAGGGTGATGGTGGCCTCATAGAATGAGTTTGGGAGTGTTCCTTCCTCCACAATTTTTTGGAAGACTTTGAGAAGGATGGGTGTTGGCTCTTCTCTAAATGTTTGATAGAATTAGCCTGTGAAGCCATCTGGTCCTGATCTTTTGTTTGTTGTAATATTTTTAATCACAGTTTCAATTTCATTACTTGTGATTGGTCTGTTCATATTTTCTATTTCTTCCTGGTTCAGTCTTGGAAGGTTATACCTTTCTAAGAATTTGTCCATTTCTTCCAGGTTGTCCATTTGATTGGCATACAATTGCTTGTAGTAGTCTCTTATGATGCTTTTTATTTCTGCAGTGTCCATTGTAACTTCTTTGTTTTCATTTCTAATTTTATTGATTTGAGTCCTCTCCCTCTTTTTCTTGATAAGCCAATGGCCTATTGAGATCCAGGTAAAAACTGATTACAGCAAGGCATTTAGGGAACTGAAACAGACAAAAGAGTATGAAACTCAGGGGAGAAATCTGAGCTGAGACTATAGAAGTCATCGACATACAAGTACCATAATGGTCTTTAGGCCAAGATGGGGGCAAGAAAGGCATATAGCACCACTCTCAGGAGAAGGGAAGTTTGGTTAATTTCTATGTTTAGGAATAAAAGCATAAGGCAGAAACTCAACGGGATTCCAGTAAACATATCACTAACCATAACAGTAGGACTTTTGCAGTTAACAGAACCCTTATAATCACCCCATATTTGTTAGATTTGCTACTTCTCTCCTGAAAACTAGGAATAAAACCCACCAAACATATAAAGAACCTGTGAGTATTTGTATTCAGAGACAACGTGAAAGTAGGAATGGAGAGACTGGTCCCTCTCTACATCCAATCTTGGGAGGCAGGGGAAGAGTTCTAAGGAACAGAGCAGGTTGCGGCAGATTTGAGGAGGAAAGGAAAGCTAGCTGGGCATCTTCTCACTTTCTGTGACAAGGCAGAAAAGCAAATTTGGAATGCCAGCCTAGACCTAAGAAGTGCCCCTAAAGCCTAAATGCAAAAATCTTTAGG